GCAAATCACAATCATAATTTATTATAGTGTGTATTCCAAATATTTATTTACGAACTATTCGAGAACTATTTAAGCACTAAATTTAACTGTATATCCCAAGTCTTGTTTGTATTGGCACTTTGATCGATTGTTAAGGCTTAGCCTGCAAGCTAACGATGCCTGCCTAGTTATTCCCACGCTTGTGATAAGACAGAACATGTGGCGACCGATTATGTATTCCCTTCACCTAACTAGCAAACTCTGCCTGCCTATCTTTACTCTTCATCACACAGCTACAGAAAACAGATACGATTTGAAGAAAAGTGACACTTTTTGTCTTTATCGTGATAGATTCCGGGACCACACCGCGAGAAGCTAGCAGAGCTCCTTCGGCTTTGTTTTTTATGTAGTAAAAAATGTGTAACAACTTAACGTAAGTTATTATCTGTGAGTGTAAGCGAAGATATTATCTGTGCATACTTTTATTGATCATGGAGGAATCCTAGAATTTTTTTGATTACCACGTAGTTGAATATAAACGAAGGTACCAACGACCATGGTTGACAACATTTGAAGTTAGAGATTTTCTACTGTGAGCAAATTTTTGTTGTGATAACAAGAATACTCAATCGCTGTTTATTTACCACATAGTTGAATGAGATTCTAACCAAAGCGTCTGTCAAGCCATTTGAGAAATATATAATTTCTCTCTAGTTTAACGTTTTTGTTCAGCACCAGAACCCAATCAAATCTTGCCTTATTTAATGTTGCGAGGCCTAGGTCATCAGCGTCTGCTCTTTCACCTGACCAAAAATGCAAAATTCTCTACGTCCTTTTCGCCATTTTGTAGAAAAAGAAAGTAACCACTCGGGCTCAAAATACGCTATTTGAATTTTGTTCAGAGACTTCGAATTTGGAAGGTAGAGCTCATTGGATTTCGGAACTCTAACTCGACGACGTCTTCTCGAATATCTCCTCCTGAACGTCTTCCTGAAAAATCCGACACGTAGGGCGTATTATAAATAAAGATACAAACGTATGGCAACAAATTGAATACCTAGATATTTTTTCTCGCGAGAAATAAGAAAAACGTATTTGATAGACATAAGAATACAATGATTTATCTCTTATTGTACCACTGAGAACGAAAACTAACTATTATCTGTGCTCACTTTCCAGCAACTTCCAAGCAAAAGAAAGACTCATCTTTGCTTAACTTGTGCTCAAAAGTTGGTGCAGACCTAAATATTTATAGATATTCTCAAGCCCAAATTCTTGGATAATTCTGCCACACATCAGAATGAGTTTGTCAGGATCAAGGATTTTTCCCCTTTTTACGTGCACTGCAGCGCATTTGCCAATGGCAAACTCCATACAAATAGATTCGCTAGAGGACGTGACAAGTTCAACTACGAGGAAACTGGTTCTTATCTCTGGCGTACAACTTGAGATCGTCCATGTAGAACTGATCATTAATTTGGATTTTTGGTGATTTTCTATCCCATCCCTGAATCTCTTAATATCCTGCTGAGAGGTTTAGAGCTAGGGAGAACCATAAGGGACAACGACTATTTCTATTCTCTGAAATATTCCTCGTTCGATCCTCAGCAGTTCCTTGGTGGTATGGCTGCCTCCAGCAAATGAGACTTGAATCTCTTGAAGGAGGATAATTGAATACGATGGCAGTATGTCTTCATCGCTCCATAATGAGCAGTCCAAGAGAATTTACCAGAATTCGTCTCCATAGACTATTTCAGATTAGCTTGTGGCTCTTCATTATTTCTTTCTTCATCACTCTTATTCCATTTCTCAATACCCAAGGATGCTCTTACATTCTCCACAATGGTATTATTTATGCAATTGAGAGAAAGTTCCTTACAATGATAGTGCGCTCCTGGGTGCACACTCTGTTCGGATACCGGTATGTTCGGATGCAGCTTTAACCATTCTTCGTGAAATCGCGTCCTGTATCCCTCTATGTCCGCTTCAATTCTGGTAGCCAAAAATACGCATGCTTAATGAAGATACGTATCTCCTTAGTTAATTTCATGCACTGGCGTTTGCTCTGAGGTCGGGTGGGGTGAGCTGTTGTCTCACCCAAGCTGCGACTGCCAGTATTTGTGTTGTGGTCTCCATAAGTGGTGCAGCCCCACACCTTCCCGGATGGTATGAGGAGGCTCCGCTCCTCTCCACTGGCACTGGTCACCACGAGCCCAGAGCCAGAACTCGCAGCGTCACCTTGCAAGTGCAGGTCGCATGCGTCACGAATCCTTTGACTTCTTCTCACAATTGCTTCTCCACCGGCGGCCAATAGATAGTGGAAGCACCTCTCGCCTCTGAGCTAGAGCACTGTCTGCGCACCATCACACAACATCTAAGATCGAAGCTCAGGCAACTACAGCCCGCGAAAATATAGTAATGGCTATTTCGCGCTGCCGCCTCTCCCAATGGCCAAATGCTTCACCAATACATTTTTCGGAAGTCATGAACACAGGTCACCTCTCAGCTTCCAGAAGAACAGACAGGCATCCTATTTGGCGGGTTTGCCATTGCAGTGACAGCCGACACGTAATAGTGCCTTTGCTCGTCCTCGACGTGCTGCAGCTGTCCTTTCAGTTCACGTAGGGTTGGTCTTCGGTGTACGTAGAAAACGGTGAAATGCATAGAAAATATTTTGGAAACTGTCGGGAAAACAGGTAAGGGACAGTTAAGATAACATTTTGACAAAGGAATAAAGGGAACGGCGAAAAAGAGAATGTAGAATGAAAGATGGATCAATTTTAGATGGGACAGCAGAGAGCTGCTTCTGTTAGTCGCCTTTTACGACGGGAGAGATCCTGTGACGCTATTCTACAACCGGACACCACACAGAGTTGTTTATTATTATTATTATTATTATTATTATTATTATTATTATTATTATTATTGTTATTTTTCATTTTGGAAGTGAATGTGTGCAGACATGAGTATGTAAAAGTGCTCCCCCTTACATAGTTTTATCATTGTTACGCAAGAGGTTCCGTTATCTACACATAAAATCTTAGTTCGTCGCATTTATTTCGTGTGCGGTCAAAGAAGTCTTATAGATATAGCCACTTGCTTTGAAAATCGTGGTTTTATTGGAGTGTACTGATAACTTGTATACGTAAAATAATTGAATGCTCTATAATAACATTTCTTCAGATGATTCAAACAGTATTTATTCTCAATTTTCGCACAATTCCAAGAAATTATTTTCATAGTTCGCGTTTCCTCAGAAAATAGTCGAAACCTTTTAAATTGGTTAATTAACCACAGTTTATTTTTTTAATGATTTTTTTTGAGATCGCGCCCTTGTGTTGCAGCCTTTGTGGCGCAGTTCTCTCTGCTGGCCGCCTTCTGCTGGATGAGCGTGCTGTGCTTCGACATCGCGCGAGCCTTCAGGTAAGGTTTGACGCCAGAAACTTTCTTCTTAGCACGTTAACTAATTGAACCACTAAACCACCATATGTTGGCTTTAAACTTGTAATAAAATGACACTACGCTTTATGACTGAACATTATATATATTCTAATGCGTTGCTACCCTGTGGTTTCATCAACGAATAACTCAGTTCGAGCTTTGAAATCTCATGGTCTACCGACTGAGTTGATTAAAATAATCTCAACAATTGACTTATTCAACTATACAATTATTTACAGTTAATTTCCCTTGAAATGATTACACTTAAAAATGTTTTACACTGCTAATTTCCCCGCAAACATTACACACATTGAACTGTATTACTGGCTTACAAGGTTCTCTTTCCTGTTATATGTCGTGATCTAGTTCGTACTAAAATCTATGTTATTATGCAAATTTAGAACTGTAGTCTTTATGCTGCTTATCTAGCGCTCGTGACTCTGCCTGCTCTCAACTCCCGTTAGAAAATTCATTACTTGCGGTAGCGCGCAGAGTTCGAGGCTTGCGAATCTTGCTTCTCTGCCGCGCCTGACCGAGTCCCAGATTCGGCCGCCGTTCCTCGTTCCACTTCCGTCCAGCTGTCCTGGACGTCACACCAACGGCTATTGCCTGTGTGACGTCATGGATACTCACAGCGACCACAGACACAGAGCTGTCATATTACAAATATATTTATTAACAAGAAAACAAAACAAATATATACACTTAATAATATACTTACACCCTAGCT